TGCAAGAGCATAATTTCATAAGTTTTCCATCAAATTTCATACTTTTGGTGTCATTATGATGGGAAAAGAATCTCTATCTTTTCATAAGAAGAAATAATTTTTTTTTTCCAAAAAATTTTCAACCCTGAGAACAAGTTTGGGAGAGGGCCTCTCAACCCTGAAAGGGTTAAAGTTCCTGCATATAATATGGTACCACTGATCATGCAGATGGCAAGCAATCCAGGGCTGTCTTTATCCTTTGCCCTTTCTGCAGACCACACAAATCTTCATGGTAGTGATCCTCTTACAATACTGGACAACTTTCTTAGCTAGCTAGTCTATAATTCCACAATGCCTTTATTTTTATTTATTTTTTTAGCAGTTCTTCTGATTTGGCTTTATTTCCAATGAAACTGTTTGAATCCACCCAAATCTGGCTTTATTTCCACAAAAAGTGTTTGAATCTGCTGAATCCAGCAAAATCCATTTGAATTCTCCCGAATCCATGAACTGGAAGAATCCAGTCCCTGTATATCTTTTTTCTAATAATTACCTTAACAGTAGATCTGTATTTTAACTATTTGTTGTATTTAAATTTTTGTACAGTTCTTCTGGTTTGGCTTTATTTTCAATAAAACCATTTTAATCCGCCCAAATCTAGCTATATTTCAAACAAACCATTTGAATCTGCGCAAATCCAGTGAATCTGGAAGAATCTGGCTAGTGGATCACTGTATATCTTTTTCCTAATAAGCACCTTAACAGTAGATCTGTCTATCTGTATTGTAACTATTTGTTGTAGTTTTGTTTGAGTGTTTGATAGGGCACGTAGAGCACCATCAGTTAGTGAGACCAGTCAGAGGATACATTGTTATCAACATAGAGCACCGTCAGTTAGTGAGACCAGTCACAGGATACATTGTTATCAACGATTCCATTTGAATCCGGTCGCTGGATGAATCCGGCCAGATCCAGATTAGCCTCACGAATGATAAATACTAGCTCATGAAAAGGACTACTGGAAAAATTTTAAACAAGAATATATGTTCAGTTGTTTCAGAAAGGATAACTTGCGTGTTTGGTGCCGATGGCTTCAATATATGGAGTAATGGAAAATTTATGATTTTTGTTGTTTATAGCGACCTGCTATCACGGGTTTACCACACATGTTTACGTCACTTATCACAATCATTTACTAACAACTATACCACTGTTTATCTATTTCTAAAAAACCCTGAAACACTTTCGTTTTTCCTAAAGATTTTGCACCTCTTTCCAATTTCAACAGTAATGTTTATCCCTGAACCACTAATTATAAGCCCAGTCAATAGCAGACCTACGTGGGAGGTTCTGATGACTGCTGGCAACTGTTAAATATAAACCCTGTCTCTTTGGCCTAAAAACTTCAGTTTTAAATTTCACCTTATCTTTTTTATCATATACTAGGGTACCACTGGTGGTAACACTATAGCACTATGTATAAATACATTATCAGGAAACTGTCTTTCCTCTGACAAAAAAAGTTTCTAATATTATTTTCACATCACTCTGGGCCTCAAAGTTCCTCTCTGAGAGTATGGTAATGTTTGTTTATTGTACACTGATTCTTCTTTTTGAACAGCAGATATTATTTCTGATAGTTTAGTTCCAAGTGCTGGAGGGAAATATATCTTTTTAAGTTCACTGGCACAGTTTTTTAAAGTTCTAATATGCAAGAGAGCCGTGAAAAACACGTTTAAAACACAGCGGCAAGCAATGGCAGGTACTACAATACCTGTAACATGTCAATGAGGACTTTCTGCTAAATGTTCCTCATTTTCATCACTTTTTTTCTCCTCACTGGTTTGTTTGCTCTGGACTTAAAACCCCATCTGCAAATTTTGAGTCGCAAAATGATGAAATTTGTTTCGTATAATGATTGAAATTTGAAATTATGCTAGCCAAAATTACTGCTGATTACTGAGGGAAGCAGATTACTAATTGTAGAATTAATGATGGCTGCCCTGTCCTGAAATAATGCTTTTTTATCATCTCCAATCCTCACACTTTGAGAGACTACCCATGATGCTTCCATTTCTTTATGAAGTTAAACACATTTTGCAACATCTGGATATCTTTATTGTAGTAAGTTTTTGCCATCCAGGGGGTTTTAAATCAATACAGATTCTAGGACATAATAGGAAAGACGTAGAACTATATACAAAAGATGAGGAAATCAGCCTCGGCCTTGGGTTAGTGTTAACAGCATCGTGGTGGAGGAGGATCGGGAGCAAAGACAAAAAGACTGGCTTATTAGGCGTCAGTGGATGGGAGGGCAGCAGATGGGGCAAAGTCACTGTAGCGGATTCCCAGTGAAAGTAGGTCCTTCCAAAGAGATGGGTTTGTTTGCAGTAGCCGTGAAGAAGGTCTTGTAGATGTCCTTGAACCCAAAGATTCATGGATGTTGCGTGTCGACAAGTTGTGCAAGAAAGGTATAAAATACCGACAATAATAAAAGTTAAGACACATGTGCAACATCTGGATATTTTTATTGTAGTAGACGTTTCGCCATCCAGTGGCTTTATCAATACAGATTCTAGGACCATAATAGAGACAGTAGAACTATATACAAAAGTAAGGTAATCAGTCCCTCGGCCTTGGAGTATGTGTTCACAGCATCATGGTGGAGGAGGATCTGGAGCAAAGACAAGAAGACTGGCGGTTTATATAGGCGTCAGTGGATAGGCCCGGGCAGCAGACGAGGGCAAAGTCACTGGTAGGCGGGATTTCCCAGTGGAAGTAGGTCCTTCCCAAAGAGATGGGTTAGTTGCAGTAGCCGTGAAGAAGGTCTTGTAGATGTCCTCTGAACCAAGATTCCATGATGTTGCATTTGTCTGACAAGTTGTGCAAGAAAGGTATAAAATACCGACAATATGAAAGTTAAGACACATGTGCAACATCTGGATATCTTTATTGTAGTAGACGTTTCGCCATCCAGTGGCTTTATCAATACAGATTCTAGGACATAATAGGAAGACAGTAGAACTATATACAAAAGATGAGGTAATCAGTCCCTCGGCCTTGGAGTTAGTGTTCACAGCATCGTGGTGGAGGAGGATCTGGAGCAAAGACAAGAAGACTGGGGTTATATAGGCGTCAGTGGATAGGGACGGGCAGCAGATGAGGGCAAAGTCACTGGTAGGTGGGATTCCCCAGTGGAAGTAGGTTCAGAGGACATCTACAAGACCTTCTTCACGGCTACTGCAACTAACCCATCTCTTTGGGAAGGACCTACTTCCACTGGGGAATCCCGCCTACCAGTGACTTTGCCCTCGTCTGCTGCCCGTCCCTATCCACTGTCGCCTATATAACCGCCAGTCTTCTTGTCTTTGCTCCAGATCCTCCTCCACCACGATGCTGTGAACACTAACTCCAAGGCCGAGGGACTGATTACCTCATCTTTTGTATATAGTTCTACTGTCTTCCTATTATGTCCTAGAATCTGTATTGATAAAGCCACTGGATGGCGAAACGTCTACTACAATAAAGATATCAAGATGTTGCACATGTGTCTTAACTTTCATATTGTCGGTAGTATTTTATACCTTTCTTGCACATCCAGTTCTTTAGCCGTCAAATAGGAAAACATGGGTAACAAAAGCTGTTTTCCAAGACTTGTTTTCAAGTTGTTTTTGCCCAGCTGTTGAAAACTATTGCAATGACAGCAATATCACATTTAAAGCATTACTGGTATTGGATAACATCCCAGGACATCCAACCACATATGGATCTTTTTTTTTTGACACGAAACACATCATTATTGCAGCCCCTTTTTCAAGGAACCTGAAGTTTACCTGGAGAGAGTTCCAGGGGTCAATGCCCTCACAACCTGGTCTCTGACCAGGCCTCATGGTGGATCAGGGCCTGATCAACTAGGCTGTCACTGCTGGCTGCTTGCAATCCAATGTACGAACCACAGCCCGGCTGGTCAGGTACCGACTTTATATGCTTTTCCAGTGCCTGCTTGAAGACAGCCAGGGGTCTATTCGTAATCCCTCTTATGTATACTGGGAGGCAGTTGAACAGTCTTGGGCCCCTGACACTTATTGTGTTGACTCTTAACATGCTAGTGGCACCCCTGCTTTTAATTGGGGGCATGTTGCATCATCTGCCGAGTCTTTTGCTTTCATAGGGAGTGAGTTTTGTGTGCAAGTTTGGTACTAGTCCCTCTAGGATTTTCCAGGTGTACATAATCATGCATCTCTCCTTCCTGCCTGCCTGCCAAGGAGTACAGGTTCAGGAACTTCAAGTGTTCCTGGTAACTGAAAGGTGCCATTAGGGGTGCAGCAATTTTCCCCAGCCTAAATAGAACAAGTGACCTGAAGATTTGTCATCCATGGGCTTGGCATCCCTAGTTTTGAAGGTTCTCATTATCCATCCTGTCACTTTTCTAGTAGATGCAATTGATACAATGTTACGGTCCTTGAAGGTGAGATCCTCCGACATGATCACTCACATATCTTTGACTTTAAATTTTTTTTGTTCTATTGTGTGGTTGGAATTTTTTTTTACACTCTGATGAAGTTTTAATTTCCTCACATGTACCAAATATCGGAATAATTGAATTTTGTCATTGTTGAACTTCATTTGTTTTCTGCAGCCCACTGAAAGATTTTCGATGTCCACCTGGAGCCTTGAAGTGTGTGCAATGGAAGACACTGTCATGCAGATTCAGGTGTTATCTAAAAAGGAAGACCGCACTGTGGCTTATACCCCTGTCTATGTCTGATATGAGGATGAGGAACAAAATGGGAGCGAGGGGCTGTGCTATGCTGAACAGAGCTTATCACCGTAGCCACTCAGATTTTACTCTGTTTGTATACTACTCTTTGTTTTCTATTTGTCAGGAAATATAGATCCATCTCCCAATTTTCCTGTTATTCCTTTAGCACACTTTTTGTGCACTGTTACACAAAGTCACACTTGTTGAAGGCTTTTGCAAAGTCTGTGTATATTACATCTGCATTCTTTTTGTCTTCTAGGGCATCCAGGATTTTCCCTCGTGGTGATCCAGAAGTTGGGAAGAGACAGGAGCAACCTGCTGGAAAACCGGGGTTTGTGTAATTGATGGTATCTAGATGGGTAGCAATCTTGCTTCTTAGGACCCTTTCAAAGAATTTTTATGATATGGGATGTTAGCGCTATCGATCTGTAGTTCTTTGCTATTGCTTTACTGCCCCCTTTGTGGAATGGGGCTATGTCTGTTGTTTTTAGTAACTGTGGGATGACCCCAGTGTCCATGCTCCTCTCCATAGGATGTTAACCATTTCAGGGTTTTGGACGTACTAGTACGGCTTATGCACCATTGTCCATGATGTACTAGTACGCATAAATTCTAGCGCCTTCAAATCTAGTGAAAGCTGGTAGGCCTACATATGAAAGAATGGGTTTATGTGGCCAGTGTGCACAGTATAAAAAAAAACCTGCACACACGTGCGTAATGAGAAAAAAAAAAACTTTGGAAACCCTGTTTTTGGATTAAAACAGCGACTTTGCACTATATTTTTGTATGGTATTTATTGTTGTATTCTACTTTTCCTGGTCTCATTGTATAGAATGGAAGACATATTACAGAAATTGAGGTGATTTTGACTGGTTTTTACAATGAAAAGTACCTTGAAATTGAGCTCAAAGTAGCAGAAATGTTCGATATTTACCGAAGTTCAAAAGTAAACAAATCATGCTAAGCGTCCAATGCACGTCAACTGGTGAGTCTAATTTCTTTCACAAGTGCTCCGATATTATTTATACCATTTCTACACTAATGCAGTAGTCTGCATAACAGTAAATTATAATTTTTTTTTGTTAGAATAAAAATTCAAAGTGGAAAGCAAAAGAATGTATGAGGGGCCTGGGGACATGACTAATGAACAGAGAAAATATTATTTTAGTGCCAGGAATGTCTTTCTTGTTTATTCTGGACCCTATTTGGAAATTGGTATCTTTTGAAATTTGTGTGAAACTGGCAAAATTGCTAAATTCTGACCACTGTATTAGATAGTTGAAATCGGTAAATTGGTGATTTCTTGTACTCATTCGATAGAAAAAATGGAGTTCTAGCCAAAATAGTTATGAATTTTTGTCGACTAGTACCCTAGGAATTTTGGCCGAAAAAGGGGCTCAAAGTGGGGGAAAATCGCCGTGTGTAAACATCGTTAAGACCACTAACTGCGCAAGAGCATAATTCCGTGAGTTTCCATCAAATTTCATACTTTTGGTGTCATTATGATCGGAAAAACATTCTTATCTTTTCAAAAGAAAAAATTTTTTTTTTTTTTTACAATTTGGGGACCTGAGAACAAGGGCACTGAGAGGGGCCTGTGGGGCCCTGAAGGGTTAAAAGCATGTGATAGGGACTTCTTGCAGTTCTTGACGAACACAGAGTTCCATGAGTCTGGGCCTGGGACAGAGTGAATGGGCATGTCATTTTATCGCCTGTTCGAAGTCATTTGGCATCAGGATAAAATCAGATAGGCTTGCGATAATCAAATTCTGTTGCGCTCTCAAAAAAACTTCATTTAGGTTCTTCGATTCTCAGTCTGTTTTGTGGCTTGCTAAAAAAAAGAGTCATTCTGGGACTTGAGTAGCTCACCCATTTCCTTGCTGTCATCTGTGTAGAACCATCTTGGTTAAGTAGGGCCCAATACTGGATGTTGTTCTCCACTTTGATTTGGCATAAGAAAAGAAATACTTTGGGTTTTTCAATTTCATTTTTGGCTTTTAGTTCTTCCCGCAATTCCTGACTCCACAGCATGGAGAGTGTAGGTGAAAGTGAGTAGATGCTGGGACGGTAGTGTGTGGAGAGCGTGGGTGTAGGTGGGGAAAGGGGCTGGTACCCTAGTGGAGAGTGTAGTTGTAGGTGGGTAGGTGCTGGTACAATAGTGGGGGAGAGAGTGGGTGTAGGTGGGTACGTGCTGGTACAGTAGTGGAGAGTGTAGGTTTAAGTGGGTAGGTTTCTGGTACAATAGTTTGCAGAGTGTGGTGGTACAGTAAGAGTGGTAGTGTAATAAAGTACCTGGAGAGTGTGGTGGTTTCAGTAAGAGTGGGCATTTAATAAAGTACCTGGAGAGTGTGGTGGTTCAGTAAGAGTGGTAGTGTAATAAAGTACCTGGAGAGTGTGGTGGTACAGTAAGAGTTGTAGTGAAATAAAATACTGGAGAGTGTGGTGGTACAATAAGAAGGGTAGTGTAATAAGGTACCTGGTGGTGTGGGGTACAGTAAGAATGGTAGTGTAATAAAGTACCTGGTGAGTGTGGTGGTACATTAAGTGTTAGTTAAAAAAGTACTTGGAGAGTGTGGTGGTGCAGTAAGAGTGGTAGTGTAAAAAGTACCTGGAGAGTGTGGTGGTACAGTAAGAGTGGTAGTGTAATAAAGTACCTGGATAGTGTGGGGGGTGGGTGGGTAGTGGTTTGGGGTGGAGAACATGGAGATACAGTTGACCATCTTGTAAAGTTATCCTGGAGTGCGGGGGTCATCTTGGTCTTGCTGGACACCAAACACCAGGGCCCGCCTCCACAGCTCTTGTGCTCTCACTCATCCCCCCGAAAATCATCAACCTGTGGACAGTTACCACCATTATCACCTCTTCACATGTCACTACCTTATCACCTGTGTACAGTATCACTACCAATTATCACCCATGTGCAGTCTCAGCATCATTATTACAAGTGTCAGTGTCACTATCATGTAGAGTGTCAGCACCATTATGACAAGTGTTCCAGTATCACTATCACCCAAATACAGTGCCAGCACCATTATCACAAGGTGTACAGTGTTATGATAATGTTTGCTTCAGCATGATATGTTTGAAACAAAGGAGAATGACAAAAACCACTATATATTCAGAACATTTTGGCCAAACTTAAGATTAATAAGGCAATAACAATACAGTGTACATTTAGGTGTTTACAATGAATAAAATATAAGTGAATATTGTATTAGTTCAGACTACATGACTTTAACAAGTTTACTTGAAGGGAATTACAAGTTTCATTATAAACCTAAATTGTACACAATTGTTTAATGATTGTGAGAGTTACAGATACGGTGGACCCTCGATTTTTGTGATTAATCTGTTCCAGAGAGTCTACCAAAAGTCGAAATTCATTAGAGTCGAAACCATTTTTCTCATAAGAAATTATGTAAATCCAATTAATCTGTTCCAGACACCTAAAAATAATTTTTTATGGATTAATATAGATTTACATACATAAAGGAATGAGAAATCAATATAAAGCAATAATAAAATATATAAAAGATCATTTAACATCACACTTACCTTTATTGAAGACTCTTTTTGGTGTATGGAAGATGGGAGGAGGGGAGAGGGTTAGGGTGATGTTCCTCCACAAATGTTTGCACTTCACCCCACTTTGCAAAATGTCTTTAATCTTTAACCCTTTGAGGGTTTTGGACGTACAGTGGACCCCCGCATAACGATTACCTCCGAATGCGACCAATTATGTAAGTGTATTTATGTAAGTGCGTTTGCACGTGTAAGTTTGGGGGTCTGAAATGGACTAATCTACTTCACAATATTTCTTATGGGAACAAATTCGGTCACTACTGGCACCTGAACATACTTCTGGAGTGAAAAAATATCGTTAACCGGGGGTCCACTGTACTAGTATGGCTTACACGAAGGGGTTTTTGACGTACTAGTACGTATAAATTCTAACTGTCAAATCTCGCGGGAAAAGGCTGGTAGGCCTAGATGTGAGAGAATGGGTCTGTGTGGTCAGTGTGCATGGCAGAAAAAAAATCTGGGACCCAGTGGTGCATTGTGGGAATGCCATCTTAGTACACAATGTCCACCATGCCTCGCGGTAAGAAGTTCCTCACTCCTCTGCGAATTGGGACACTTTTGTTCCCCAGTGACAGTTCAAATACAGATGGAAGTGCCAGTGAAGATGAGTTTCAAGGTTTTGGTGAGGTTTTGACCAAAACTAATGACCATAATATCAGTAATAGTGAGGAAAACCCAGACGACCCTCAGCCTTCTACCTCTGGTGATGGGCCGTCTTGTTTACGTTCAGTTGTACCAGAATCAAAGAGGAAACTCCTATTTTCCCCAAATCCCAGACTCAGATGTGAGCATTTTGGTGAAGATAGTGATAGTGATTATGAACTACAAGCTCTTGAAAATAGTTCCCGTAGTGATAGTGAAGTGGAATATTCCCCAGTGAAGGGGTCCAGGGCCCTGGGCCCCCTTATGTACCTTTTTAAACTTTTGACTACCGCCCACAGGATGGGTATGGGGTGCATAGTAAAGATATTAACTAACCCCAGTGAAAATCAGTATATATGGTAGTGGGGCCACATGCTATTCCAAGGGGAAGGAGTACATCTCGGAGTACATCCCCTGGCTGTACAACAGGAACAGACAGTGAAAATGACGATGAAAATGTTGCAATTGGGGTGGAAATGTGCATGGTGGTGGTAGTGGTGGTGACGGCCGTGAGACACCCGCAGTGGGCCATTTCTGCACCCCACGCACTGCCTCAGCGATCTACAACAAAGGCCACCATCCCCCAACCACCCACCACACCAGCCTAGACAACCACAACCTCCACAACAACCCCCCATCTGTCATTGTCCAGTACCCACCAACAGACTGCACCTGGGATTGGCAGGAAGCTGTCAATTTTGTTCCAAATGCCACCATTTGATGACAGCCAAAGTTTGGGAAAACAGCCATCTTGTACACTTGGGACCAATGCCACTGAACTGGAATGTTTCCCAAATTATTCTTTGACGAACCTGATGGAAAGTATTTTCATGGAAAGCAACACATACTACGAGTACACCTTGGCAAACACAATACTTTCACCAAATCACATCTACACCCGTGGAAGGAGGCAACTGTGGCTGAGATGTAAACTTTTCTTTGCCACAATAATGCTTATGCCACATGTGTATAAGCACACAGTGAAATCATTTCTGGTCAACGGACCGCCCGATTGCAAACCCCGGTTCAGTGATACAATGCCGTGAATAGATTTGTGCTAATGTTACGTAGCTTCACTTCTCAGACAAAACCAGGCCTGCAGAAAAAACGGTTTTATAAAA